ATATTAGCAACGAATTTTGTTGTGATTTTTTGCATCAATGTTTATCATCAAATTCTGATCTCTCTTCTAATTTAATTCAATCGTGTAATATAACTCTTCATCGTTTATATATTCGACTTAATCATGCACGTTTTCTTGAAAGTCTCATTGAATATATCCCCAATCTCGAACAAATATCGGTGGAATTCGATGGTTCATTACAAATTGATACATTATGGAAATCAAACATAGAAGCATTGAAACAATCAAATGAAAATTGGTTCAATAAAGTAAGAAATTAATCGTTAGTTTTCCATTTTATAGATTTCTCAGTTAAACAAAAAAAAACGAACCCTATTGCTTTAGATACCAAAACTACAATGTTTTAGTTTAAAAAGTTTTATTGATAATGATTTGGAATTTATTTATTTGAAATGGCTTCTTAATAATTTAAATTATGTTAAAAAACTTCAAGTTCATATTAAAAGTTGTAAATTAGACGATAGAAAATGTCAAAATATATGGAAATGCTTGATTGATGCAAATTTCATTCGTCAATATTGCTTACCTGATAGAATACCTAATTTAATTGATTTCAATTTTTATATTTGTTCACAATGTCAATTATCATATGATGATATAGAAAAAATAATTAATTCATTTAAAAGTCATTCTTTTTTTATTTCACATCAATGGACAAATGTTTATATGATTCAATAATGTCATGCCAGCATCTTTTCTCTTCTTTTGCTAATACATTTCAATCTTCTGATAATCGAATGTCAGTTATTAGTTATTAAAAAAAAAGTTTGAAAACATCTTAGTTAAATGATATTTCTTTTTCTTTTAGTAATTATTCATATATTTTCAAATTGTTAAGCTTTGGCGACACATGCTTCAATTCATATCCATCACTGTATTTATTTTTGGAACAATTTAATGAATTATCTCCTAATATTTCTCATATCAGTGTATATGAAAGTAAATTAATTTGTCATTTCGATGATTCTTTGTTAAATAATAGAGTAAAGAGATAACAGCTATGAGTATACTGACACAATTTCGTAATAGATTTTTTTTTGTAACAAGAGAAAGCAGAAGTTTTGATCGAAACACTTATATGAGGATAGATATTTATCTTTCTCTTCTATTGAACTGAATCTAATAGAAAAATAGTTAAATAATGTTTAAAGTAAATAGAAATTTTTTTTTTTTTTTTTTTTAGCACATAATAACGATCTTGATAAATTTGATCTTCTAATGTCATTGGAAATTTTATCCAAAATGAGGCAAAGCAAGAGAATTGATATTCTTTTTCGAAATGTTACAAAAATTCAATTTGGAACGTATTTTGATCGAAAAACTTGTTAGTATTCATTTTTTTTTTTTTTTATGCTAATTATTTATAGGTTGAAAAAACATTGTCGCAATTTTTTTTCTAGTTACGAACTTTATTTAAAGTTATTTCATAATTCGATTGCTTTGTAAATATATCTAATTTCACTACGGACTAAGTTCAATCTAAACTTTTTCTATTTAAAAGAGAACGTCGCTAAATGTTTACTCTTAAAGATTAAGTTCATCATCAATAAAGAAAATGTAATACTTTCTGTTCGAATTTAAATCAATGTCAACCATTGTTTCTTGAATTTGAATAGTTGTTCTGTGCAAACAATTCGATCTCTCAGATCTTTTATGATTATTGCATAAAATGTAACTTTGATTTAGACGATTTTGTGATGACAATAGATGAAAATGAAATACGTGGAAAGGTGCTTGCTCATCTCATTTCAATGACTGTACAACTCAAATATCTTCGAGTTGAAAGATTCGAATGGCTTTTACATGTTATTCAATATGTAAGACATTATTTTTTTTTATAAATTAGATGTATATTCTTGAATATAATCAAATCTTTATTGTAATAATGAATAAACATTTCTAGTAGTATTAAAGAAAACTATGAATCTCACTAGTGTTTGCCTTTACATATATATTTCAGTCAAAGATTATGGGTTACACAAAGCGATAAGCTATTTTCGTTTGTGCACCACTTGAGAACTAGAGACCTGCAGGACAGTCTCCAATCCGGAATAACCCCATTTATGCATTTTGAAGAACATCGGAGTGGAACAAATGTGATTCTAGTGACGTAAATCTTTGTCTTGCGGATCTCTACTTAGATTATTTATTTTGATTTGACGAAATAAGTCTAATAGGTTGGTATGATGTACTTACTTATTTTTTGGTTTTCTATTTAGGCATCTAATGAATTAAGAATAAATTCATTAAATACTGTACGATATGTTGAATTTTGTCTTCCGAGTTGTCATAACGGTTATGAAACAATTCATATTGGCAAACATTTTGTACCTTTTCTTAGCACATATATGCCTCATTTACAAACATTATGTCTTTGGTGACCAGATGATTTTCCTTGGACTACTGGTAAGTTTACTTTAAATAAACAAAAACAATCATAATAAAATTTCTTAATGAGTTATGACAAAATATCATCGCTTTTTTTATTTTCTTAACTTTTGTCAATTTTATTTTGCTATTTATTGATCAAACAAATATTTTTATAATAATACACAGTTCGGCTTGAATGAAAAAATATTCTTTTTTTTTCTATAAAGTTTATTTATACCTTATCTTATTCCAGTGAGAAAAATTTTGATTTATGTAATATGTAGTTAACATTTGAGAAGTAACATCAAATACTTTGAAAGCTTTAGTTGTTATTGAAAAAAATGAGCAATCATTTGTGATTGAAAGAATCAAAATAATTTTATGGAAATTTTTCTAATTTATTTCTATCGATTTTCAGTTTAAAAAAAAACAATAGAAAATTAATGAGAATTGTTTGACTTCAAAGTATTAACTAAATTTAAAAGTCTTCTGGTCAAAAATAGTGATTAGAAGAAAATGATAGAGGTAAAAATCTCATTCACAGCAATTTTTTTGCTCAATTATAAAATCAATCTAATCAATTCACTCTATAAGAATCGAGAGTGAGTCCAGATTGATTGATAAAATTCTTTTGAAGTCCGAAAAACATTGAAAAATTCTTCATGATTTTTTAGAAATCTCTAGTTTGAAGAACTCATATGGACAGATGCGATGAGTTCCAAAAAGACTCTTTAAATATTTTTGTCAATCTGTCAGCACTTATTCTAGATGTTAATAAAGAAAATTTTTTATGAAAACTGCAAAGAAACAACTTCCCTTCTCATACATCTATATCGAGTATTGTGTTTCTTTTTGAAAATCGAAAGACAGAAAAAGAAACAATATTTATTCATAAAATATATACGCGAGACATTCAACTAAAAATAATTTTGTGTTTGTTTATTTCAGTTCGACCAGATTATAAGAGACACTACGATGATCGTTTACTTCTACAATGGCTAAAGTCTTTACAAACATCTGAATCGATTGGTATATATATAAATACAACAATTTTATACGAAAAATTCTTTTTTTTAGCTCAACATGTGATCGTTTTTGAACAAGATCTTTGGCAATTGACAGATAAATTAAAAGATTTTACTTTTCTTGATATTTATGGTGAAATTCATTACACAAAAGTAGAACCTTATCGTTTAATGGCTCAAGCTCGTTTTCCACATAGTCGAGTAGATGTTGACGTATCAAGATTTCGTCTATGGCTTTAATTTTCCGTGTCTTAGTTATGTGCAATAGATGTGTGTTAAAGACAATTGTTATTGTAAACTAGTCATTTTTTGCTTGTGTTTCTGTAATATTATGAATTGTAAGAAGTTTACATTCAATAATGAAATGTCAATATTGTTTTTCATACATATATTTTATTGTTTTCTGGAAAATTCTAATTTTGTTACTGGAGAAATTTATTAGTTAATCTATATCTATCCAGATATGTTATTGACTGGATAAGTGGAAAATTCTTTTGATAGTTTATTTAACGAAAATATAGAGTAAAACCTCTCTTAGATGGGCACCAATGGAACTTCTTCAAATCGCCAATCTCACGAGGGTGCCCGTCTTATAGAGTTTAGAATATCGACGACTAGTACGTTATTCACTAGCGAAATGATAAACAAATCTTACTTATATGCTCTCGATTCACTTTTAGCATTTTGATTACACTTTTGTCAATTAGAATCTTCTTTCAACAAAGTTTATTTTCTATTATCTTATTTACAATCAAAATATTCTGTGTTTGAAGTTTGCTTCATATTGTTTCCATCAAAGGTACAGTCCCCTCTTTTTTCATGATTTTCAGACCCCGAAGACGATAAGTTCGATCGGATTGAAATTTTTATCACAAATAGAACACCTAAAATGATGAGACACGTGTTTGAGGAAAAAATTCTCTAAGACTGTTTTTCATGGTGTTTTTTATGAAAAACCTTGGTTTTCCACAGGTGCTTATCTTGCCATTGTACGAGCCCATCGAATTTTCTCCGATTTGGCTGAAAATTGTTTTTGGGATACCTACGACTATATCTCAGAGGTCGTTTTGAGCTTCTGCAAAAATCTCACTTTGTTTTTTTTTCTATGAAAAAAAATACGTAAAGGTTTTTGTCAGAACCAAGTTTTTGACGTTCGAAACCTCATAAATCCACATGGAAACACCATCAATTAAATCGGCCGACATTATCTCTGGAGAATACTTCAAAGTATCTGTGATAAAAATTTCAGCTCGATCAGACGAAATTAAAATAGGGTTGTACATGGCACAATTGGACGATTTGCATGAAAAGGCAGTTTTGGGAAAAACACAAAGTAAGTTTGAGAAAGATTGAAAGTTCGTTTTTTAATGATTCTATGGGTAGTCTGTTATGACGATCTCCTATCAGGCAGTGACATTTTGACAATTTTTGGAGCAACAACTTTTCGTAAAGATCAACCGCAGATCGGTCTGAGATTATTCAAGCATAGATTGAAAGATCAATACCGAGTCTATCTTTAGAGCACATAAACAAGAAACGAGTTTTTTTTGTTTTAAAAGAGGAGGGACTGTACCCTCAATCAAATTGTTAAGACTAAATTAAATAAATACAAATCAAATGATTATATCATTATGATTTTGTATTAGCAAAGGCTGAAAACTTAGTATATAACAATATAGTTTATTTTTGTAGTTTCGTAATAATTCGTAGATGATGAAGGTATTAATTCAATGAAAGTTTATTTAATTAAATTTAATCCATTTTTGAAAACAATTGATGAAGCTTTATTTAGTTGGGCATATGAATAACATTTATTCGAATGACAATCAAAATCAAAATAAATATAAACCTCTTTGTCGTCTGACTAAGTAAAAAAGATAGTTCTAGATACTTCTTTTTTTGTGATCGTTATCAAATGCAGTTCAACAATAGATTAAAAATGATCAGAATTTCTAAGAATTATTTTTAATTCTTCTTGATAAATTATACAATTTCTTAATGAAAATGCTTTTTCAAACAAGTCAAGAATTTTAAGTTTCATAAATAAATAACACATGTTTCTTTCTTTTCCTTCCAATATTTACATTTTCTATTCGTCCGCAAAGATGAACAAACTAGTATTTGAATCATCATAATAGAAGAAAAAGAAAGAAAATTTACCCATCGAAATGTCGATCATTTTGTCCTCCTCCATTATTTCTTACTATCATTATCATTTTCTTCTTCAAATAATAATCGTTTACAATTAAGAATATCTTCATCTCTTGAAATATTTTTATATCTTTGTTTTATGTCAACTTCTTTTTCGATACTTGATCAAACACATAATGATCATATACAATTTGGTGTTTTTAAATGTTATTGAACGTTATCATTTTCTTTTGATAATTCATCATCATTAGATATTTTACACGAACTTGAAATAGAATCAAAATCAAATAATTATTTAATAAAATTTGATTTACATTTAAACGTTATTGAAAGATCATTATCAACAACAAAACATTCATCACCACCAATAACAATATCAGATTCATCATTATCAACATCGCCAATTGTAATTCCGAAAGCAACACGTCCACCACCACCTGTATCATTTCCATTAATCGTTCAACAAGTGTAGTAGTTGTTACTCCTAATACCTAAAAAGGTTGAACAACAAATTCCTGTTATTTATCAAAGTTATAATGGAACAGACAAATCATTATCATTCACATGATAATACATCAAATTCTATACGTCATAGAAAAAGAAATTATATTATACAAAAATCAGTTAAACAAAATGGAAATATTTATAGTGAAAATCCATCAATATCAACACACAAGAAATTACAATTCATAATAATGAAGTTGATTTTTCTATGGTATTGAATTTCAATTATTTATTATTATTTTTATATTTGTAATATTTAGGTTCGAGCAATGAAAAGATTTGAAATTGAACGTAATCTTCCTATTCAAACATGTGATACAATTGATCGTGTTAAAGCACATTTAGGTCATCGTCTTGTTGAAATGAAAAATAAACAATGTTCTCATTGTCTTCATTTATCAGCAGCTGAAGTTTGTTTTACAAATATAAAATTATTTTATATTTATTATATCGTTTTGTTTTAGACGACTGGTATTGTACCAAAACCAATTTATAATCGAGATTTAGCTATTGATTTACTTAAATTAACAAATACGATTATTATTGAAACGAATTATGTTTTCAAAGGTAGTCAGAAAAATTCGATTTTTTTTTCGTAATTAAAGATAAAATGATTCATGTTCTATTTTTTAATGGATATCATCAACTTTTTTTTTATCTCGTTTATTTTCATCTTCATCATTTAATGGTATAAATAATCAAGATCAACAAAAGTTAAAAGTAAAAAAAACTGATCGTATTAAACAATTAAAAAATTGAAAAACTTGTTTTATTAAAAAGATTAGTTGAAATGTGTTCCAGCAAAAAATCTATAAGATTTCTTTTGTTTTTTAGATTTTTTTTTCTATTATGTGGACACTTGTAATACTTGATGATGTGAACGTGCCCGTCGATGAATCAGATGCAAGTACAAATAAAATTAAAACAAATTATACGGGTCCATGTTTAGCTTTCTTGATGGATTTCGAGTTTGATGATACTAATATATGCACGCTGTTTCATTATTCGTCTTACATTAATGAGGAATAATGTGGAGCACAATCAGCATTATTATTACAAGTACTACTAGTAGAATATATTGATGGTGAATTGCAATATTGTTTGGATCTTGATGGATATAAATCAAATGGTAAACCACGTTTATCAAATATGAATTTATTAATAGCTGGTGGTGATACAGATAAAAGTAAACGAATTGAAAATGCTTTATGTATGTTGAATTCAGTTGAAAATAATTTTAATATTAAAAATGAAACTGCTGATGAAGATGTACATTTCATTTATAATGAATTAATTAATAAAGTTTCCATAGTCAAGCCAGTAACGAAAACTTGAAGCGACAACGAAGAAGCTGGTGGTAAATCAAAAATATAAAATCTATTTTCCAGATTATTAATATATACAATTGCTATTTCAGCAAAAAACACCAATACAGGAAATGATTATCCTTGTATACGTATATTTTAGTCCGGCTATTCTTCAATATCGACACGAAAGATCTAGTTCAAAGCTCGAAACAAGTTTCGAGTGTCATCTATGATGGTTCAAAAGAATTTTCAAGTGCCATTAAAGACGGCAGTAATAACTTCAAGTATGGCGGTTATGCTGTAGCATTGGGATTGGCAGCCATAGGCGCTGGCATTACCATCGGGAATATTTGGGGAGGAAAACAAAATGATCCTCCAATAATAATAAGTACGTTAAGGGGATCAGGTTTCAAAAAGAAAATATCGTTCTTATTTATCGTTGCAGTGGCCGGTCCTCAACAACAAACAACAACACAAGAACAATAAGTTATTTAAATTTTTTGATTTTTTGTTCATTGTTTGTGCTGTTGTTTTTTTTTGATTTTTTTTTGTTTTGTTGGAAAACTCATAAAAGTTTTTTTTTTTTCTTATTATAGATTTGATTTTTTGTTTAAAATATGTCGAAGGTGTTATAAGACAACAACAGCATTCAAGTCAAATCTTATCACAAGATAAACAACAAGTACCTATGTCAAGAGAACGTTCAATGACAATAACAACAAATGCATATTCACTAACAATTAAACAACCTGAACGAATGAGTTTAACATCACTTGAAATAATAACAGATACATTACTAGAATTAATGGAAGCTTGTATGAATGATATACCTGATTGTGAATGGTTAGCACAATGGCAAGAATTAGCTAAACGTTTTGCTTTTCAATTTAATCCAGCTTCATACCCAAGAGCTATGTTAGTTAATTATCTTTTTATTTCTTTTAAAAACGTTTTATATTTATTTTTTAGTATTGTTAATGATTGTATATCAAAAACAACAAGTGATGGTGAAATAAAAACTTTATTACGTATACTTGTTAAAGCACTTGAGTCATTTTCTGATATTGATTTAATTGATTCAATAATAATGTGTTTAACACGTTTATTACTATTATTACCACCGGAATCAAACATTCATAAATTTATGTTTTGGATAGCTTTGTCAATACTACAATTAGAAGAAACACAATTATATGCATCAGGTTTAGCTTTACTTGAACAAAATCTTCATACACTTGATCACATGTTAAATTTATTTGAAAATACAAGTACACATCAACAACAAACATTAGAAAAAATCATGATGGATGCTCGAGAACCATTAGAATGGCAATTTAAACAATTAGATGCTAGAATGGGTTTATCATTTAAATCAAATTTTAATTTTGCACTTGTTGGACATCTAATTAAAGGTATGAACAACTGAAGAAAAACGAAAAAACATCGGATAAAAATTATTCAAAAATATTCCTTCTAGGTTTTCGTCATCCAGTACAATCAACTGTTGTTCGTACAACTCGTGTACTTTCAACACTTCTTAGTATTGTTTCAAAATCCAAATCACATGATAAGTTTAAAGTAACACCAACAACAGTACCATATTTAGCAGCATTGTTTAGTGTTGTTGAAGAAGTTCGTACTCGATGTCCAGTTAAAAATTGCTCAAATCTTATACCAACAACAACAAATCTAACAAATATACCTTCAAATGTTAATCCATTATCACATATTCCACAATCACATTCAAGTACATCAGTTACTGATATAGCTGGTTCAACAACACTTAATGTTCAACAAGGAGTTTTTACACAACGATTAAAATCATGGGATTTATCTTATTTAGATAAAACACGAAAAGTTGGTGGTGTATCAAGTTCACGCTTATTATCAATTCTACCATATGCACGTTATTATCAATCAGTTGATATTGAAAATGCATTACCAAGAATTTTAACAAAATCAGCTTCAACACTTGTTCAGTTACAACAAGTTAAACAATCTGTACCAATAACTATTTCAATTGCACCACAAATTTTACCTGAAACACAACAAACATCACAAGTAATTTTTTTATATAGAAAATCAAATTTTCTTATAAATTTGATGAGAAATATCCGTAGGAAAATTCATTTAGCTCTAGACTGCATACTATGAGTCGATTTAGCAAAGAAATAATAATAAATCAGATGATTCCAATCAGTAATCGATGAACACCTTTTCATTTGACCATATTTTTATACAATTTATCATTTCAAAAGATTAAAAATTTATTTTTATTTGTTTTTTTAGGCAAGTTCTGAAACAAATCTTTTATTAGATCCTAATGTATTAACCGATACATCAACACACGCATTACTTTTAACCGTATTATCAACACTTATTCGTAATACATGTGATGAAAATGAAATGAGAATATTGTATGAATATTTATCGGAATCAAGTATTGTTTTTCCAAAAGTATTTCCAGTTATACATAATTTATTAGATGCGAAAATAAATTCTGTATTATCATTATCACATGATGAATCAATATTAGCATCAGTACAATCAATAATATATCAAATGATTGCATATTCAGCTGGTGAAGATGCAAGTCAACAACAACAACAACTTAGTTATTTACAATCATGTGGTTTTGGTGGTTTATGGTGTTTGGCTGGACCATTTACTGTATCACGGCAAAATCCTGATAATGTCGAATTATTTGTCAATTGGTTAGAAGCTATGGTTGAAACATGTTTACCATCATTAGATGAACATGAAGATGGTTCAGAAAATAGTGGAGTTGGAAGTGGTTTTACTGGAAATAATGGAACACGACATGCATCTTTACATTTACATCATCCATTTCGACATCATCATCATTATTCTGCATCATCAACAGCATCATTATCTTAATGCAAATTTATCATCATCTGTGTCAAGTGTATCAATGGGTAAGATTATTTCAAAAAAAAAAAAAACGAATAAATTTTTTTTTAATATTTAATTCTTATATCTTTAGATTCAATTCGTTCATCAACAATTCGTGATACACAATTTTTTGATTTAAATGATCTTAATCGATCAATACAATCACAAACTCAAAGTGAAAATTATGAACGAAATTATCACGCATAACACAAAAACCAAATTTTATTTAAATGTTTAATTGTTGTTGCTGTTTTTTATTCTAGTCATTTTAAATGTTGTAATTATATATATATATATTTAATGTATTTATTTATTTTTCTATTGTCTCAATGTAGTAATTCAATGTTAATAAACAGAAAAAATAAATAAATAAATAAACAAGTAACGCGACGAAAACGTCGCTAACCTTCTACTGAAAGGATATATACCGTTGTGCATATCATACGTTTTCAATGAGCGGCGAACCTAATGTTCTCACATATACTTTAAGGAACTAAATTTAAACGAACAGCCTATGGAGATGTATGTATATGATCAAGTTTCTAAAAAGACTCGAGAAGTGTAAACCAGTCATAAGCAAAAATGTCACACATCAGTCGATGAGGGATCCTCTACCCAGCCTCAACAGAGTATTCATAGTCACTAATTGTTAGTTGGAATAAAACAGCTGATGTGATTCATAAGAAACATTTCTATACTCATATTTTTACTATTGTTCAGCGATACTTGTTTGGCTTCAATTGAGAATCTATGCTCAAAGAGTATTGGAAGAAAAAAGAGAGCTGCTATGTAGTTCATTACATTTTTTTTTCACTTGCATAATGAACAAGCCAAGTGAAAAATGGCTTGACCTCAATGTACGTCATTTTCAACGTGATACTCCTCAAGACTTGACAATAAAATACGAGTCAAGTCAGATGTACTTTGTCAGCTCAAAATTTTCGTAGACCTACATTCAGTAACGTACTTTTTTGGTTGTAATATGGAATCCCCTTTAATAATGATTGAATTACATATTGCATTTTGAGGGAAGAGTACCCTTCATGGAATGCGTTATTATACGGAACTATCTAGAAAAATCTCTATAGCTAATTGATGAAGAGAAGCAATATATCAACGAGATGATCTTAAATACGATGTTACTTAACTGAAATCGATGAAGAGTATTCTAATGAGTAATCATTATGATGAAAGCTTTAGATTCTTGTCAAAATTTCAGTGTTTGATTACATTTTTGAAAGTGTCAATTGCAGAATTTTTGCATGGGCGATTTTTACTGAAGATATTCATTTTAATTTTTGGTTTGAATGTCATTTTGTATTATGAACTAAAGCGAGACGCGAGTGTTTTACAGAATGTCATAATGATTAACCGATTGTAAAAGCTATTGAACTTATAAAAAGTACTCTGAAATGTATTTTCGAGGCAATTGGAAGTTATGAATGGATTTGAATGAAGGTGAGAATTTCGTAATGCATTTCATCAAGGTACACTATAAATCTGCTGCATTTAGATATTTATAAAATAATGGATAGACCTACATGAGCAGCTACCTTCCTGCATTCAATCATTTCGTAGAGAGATATATGAGAAATATCAAGAACTTTCGTAATTTCATTTACTTTTAAATCACTTGAGTCAGTACATATGTTTTTAAGTAGCATCGTCAGTCTTCATAGCTTGATTTTGTCAGTTTTAAAACTGAAAAATATACCAGTTTAGATCATGACTGAGTCTGTAATTCAAACAACTAAAAAAGTTCTTTTATTACGAGTTGGTCTTCTTTCACAATTGGTCCTGAATTTTGACTTTTGATGTAGTCAACAGTTCGCTTTGAACCTGGAACTGAGATTAGTTTAGTTGTTGTCAAATTGATATTTCTTCTACTGAAAATATTTCTAGGGTGTGGGGTGTGGGTGTGAGGTGCGTGGGTGTGGGTGTGGATGTGAGGTGTGTGTGTGGGTGTGAGGTGCGTGTGTGTGGGTGTGGATGTGAGGTGTGTGGGTGTGAGGTGTGAGGTGTGTGGGTGTGGGCGTGAGGTGTTTGGGTGTGGGTGTGTGGGTGTGGGTGTGGGTGTGTTTAGTTTATTCTTATTTAATCACCCACACCCACGCCCACACCCACCCACACCCATACCCATCCACCACACCCGCACCCACACATTCACACCCACACCCGAAATCATGTGTTGGGCACGGTATTTGGCATGTAACCCCAGATTTGTGCCCCATAACAGCACCTAGAAATAGTCCCATCACATGGAGAATTAAATTCTGCATCTAGCACACTTATCTAGAAAGTTAACACAAGTCATAGAGCGAATCGGGACAAGAAATACAGGATAATTGTTGTCGTTACACGTGGAATAAGACAGTATTTCGGAGAAAAGTGGTAGTTTTTGCCCGATGACCCTCCTGGAAACATGTGTCATTGGATAGAGCACAAAATTCTGCACCTAACACAAGTGCTTAGAGAGTTAACACAGGTAAGAAAGCGAATCTGGACAAGAAATACTCGAATCTGGTGCTAACTTCACTTACGTAAAAAAACTTTTTTTGAAAAAGTTTTTATGTTCTTGAAAATGATTTCCTCAGTGATATTCGATCATTTTTGAGCAAATAAAAACCATTTTTGTACGAAAAACTCACATACCCATCTGGTCATGCGAAAACTTCCCACTGTACAGTATACTTATTTAGAATACTCGAGGTGTTTAAAGATCTATTAATATCTCAGCTATTACAAATGCTATAGAGCTCAACCTGAAGATAAATAGTCCTCGTTTTTTGCTTGTTCTTTGCTTGGTGTCCTAATAAGGAAAAGCCCTTCTATTTAGAACATATTCACTGCTCTTTAAACTACCGTTTATTATTCATCTATTTTTCAAAATAAATCGATGATTTTTACATTATTCTATGTAGCACATGATGCCACTCTCAATTGTGTAAAAATATTTTTTAAAAAGCTTAGATAAACCCTAAGTAAAAGAGAAGTTTCTCAGAGATTTCAAAAAGCTGTTCTGATTAGGATCATCGATTAAATCACATGTGCGCTATACGTTACAAGCATCTAGTTATTCGTTTTTTCTTTCTCTTTGCCTCTCAAACAATGATTCATAGAAAGAGAAAATTATGACTCTCGGTGAGACCAACCGTAACTTATGTTCACTGATTTTTATTTCTACCGATGCACGAAAGAACGAGAGAACAAAAAAGAAAATACGTTGTATCTGTGTTTTTAATTTCTTCATCGCGCACATATTTTCATATGTCGACTATCATGATTGTACATTGGGTCTAAATAAATCATCATGACGGGGAAAATTATCAGGGGAATTATTACAAACCGAATTTTGCACAAATATCTATCGGCAAATACAATTGTAGCTGTGTGAAATCAAACAGTAAGAAATAGTCTCGTTTTGTTTGTGTACAGTGCAAAAAAAAAAGGGTAGCAGAATAAACCATTGCTCTATATACAGTTTTTTCATAAACTCTTGAGGGTTTTATGACTACTGAAAAAAAGGGTTTATTATAATGGACTTTAAAGAGAATGGTTTATTATTCTACATTCAAGGATTCAGTACGATACCCTTGGATACAAATATGTTATGATTTTATCTATAAGGCTCTAATTCGTTACCTTTTGAAAAAAGGGTCTATTATTCTATCCTCAATGATTTATTACGATACGTTTTCAGTATATTTTTTTTTGTAGAAGTGTTTTATATAAAGAGTCTTCAGAAAAAAAAGTTTCTTATTCTAAGACGAAGAGTAGATTATTCTACGGTTTTTGTAAAAGAAGCTCTGTTTATGAGTCAGTCCATGTAAGCCACGACCGAACCTGCTCAATCGAGGTCATCAGATCGGGCTCATTTTATGATATGTTATAGAGGCAAGAGTTCTAAGAATTTCTGTGAAAGATTTTTGAAAAAATATTGAACCGTTAATTTTTTATGAAGGTTTTACGAAAAGCTCTAAAAATGCCACCTTCTCCAAGGGGG